AAGTCCGGGCAGGTAAATATAATAGTTAAGCATGTGCTGACTAGCTAATTGATGCATTCATTGTTTTGGTATGTACACATATTAATTAACTCTCATCTTTCTTATTTTTTCTAGCCCTTCGGATCGAGCACAACTTCGATAAAGAGACAAGGCCCGAAGAAAAAGTTGCGCTCGGATGAAAGGTTTGAGATCACAACAATCACGCGCGACGGCCAACCGATTGAATCCATCCGGACAAAGGAAGCATTTGCTGCTCAGTGCGGGGTTCTTGTTAGGGACAAGATCCTGATCAGCATCTACCAATGGTATAAGCCTAAGAAGGAAGACCCTGAGGTGTCTTATGTCAATGATATGCAGAAAGATGATCTTTGGACTGAGCCGAAGGCAAATTTCATCCTAGCGCCAGAGGAGGATCCGGAGAAGCCAGTTAAAGAGCAATTAATCAAGTCTCATGCTCTTAAGAAGATGGCAGACCTATTCAGGACGTGGAAGAATGAGCTGAAAATGTTTGTCGACAAAGAAGAGACACCAGAATTCATCGGTAAATATGAGAAGATCAGAGATCACTGGCACGCATTTGTGGCCCACAAGACATCGGAAAAGAGTAAGAAGATGTCAGCGACAAACAAGAAAAATGCTACAAAGAAGAAGCTTTACCATCACACGGGGTCAGGTGGCTACCTCAAAGCCCGACCTAAGTGGGCCAAGGCTGAGAATGATCTGCTTGATAAAGGGATCGAACCAGAGACAATGAACTGGCCAGACCGTTGCCGGACTTGGTTCTTCGGGGCTGGCGGAACCTTGGACCCTGTATGAGGGAAGTGAATTTGGACGGACGAGCAAATGAGAATACCAGTCAAGAGGCTTCAGCACTATATCAATACAGCGCGGCAAGGGACGTTCATTCTAGACAGAGAGAATGACGAGCTCACAATGGCCCTTGGGAATCCTGAGCACCCTGGACGGACACGAGGCACGCCAGGCTCCGTTCCGTGGAAGGCTGGTTTTCCGGATGCAGGCGGTTACAAATGCCAGGAGAGGAGGAAAAAAGTGGAGTAAACCCAAATTCAGAAGCTGCACGAAAGGGTTCAAGCGCTAGAGGAACGAGACATAGCTCGCAGCAGGCGACCTGCCGAAACTACCCCCGAAGCTACCCCGCCTTCTCAGCGGAGAAGCAGCGTAGCTTCCACTGAGCTGCTTCAGCCGGAGCATGTCTTGACGGCTCCTGCTAGCTACCCCGTGGATGCTATCACGGAGTCTCAACATTGCCACCTTATGACGCAATGGCAGAACTTCAAAGTCAAGGCGGCTGTCGGCTCTGTTCGACCTCCTGAACCCGGCGCAACTTTTCACTGTCGTCCGATTCCAGAAGGATATGCTAGGGTGACGGTGGACGAAATAAAGGAGGGATTTGAGGACCTCCAGCTTGACCACCCTACCGGTGAAGGGGAGACTCGGCTGGGTTCTTGTCTGAAGACTCCATGCCTATGGCGGAAGGAGCTCATCAACCTTCCGAACTGGACGCCTCCGCCTCCTACTCCTCCTCGGGCGAGTAAGGGCACACCGCCTCCTCCTCCGGCGAGTGATCAGGGCACTCAGCCTCCTTCTCCGGCACGTGGTGGCACTCCGCCTCCTTCTCCGCCTGCGCCGGCGCGCCCGAGCAGCCAGCCTCCTCCTTCTCCACCTCGTCAGCAAGGGCGGAAGAGACCCGCCGCCGCTCCTGCTGCTCCGGCGCGTCATAGTCCTTCTCCTCCGCCTCGTAAGCAAGGAAAGAAGACAGTCGCAGCCGCTCCGTCTGCTCTGCCGGCGTCTAGCAGTACAGCCAGAGGCAGGAGGCAATACAGATTCGGTCCTTCTCTGAAGACTCCAGAGAAGTTACCATACGAGAGGACCCCGGAAGAGAACGCAAAGATCGTGCGAGCCGAAGTGACAAACTTCTTTCAAGGGGTGAAAGCAAAGAAACATCCACCTCAGTAGGAGAAGGTAGATCCGGTGAAAGCGAAGCGCACTCTGGCTACCCTGACAAAACCACCAAAGTCTCCGCCGAAAGGCAACTATGAGCGCATTATTGCAAAGACATTTGTCGAAGCGGAGCGGTCGGAAAGTACTGTCAGTGATCAAAGGTTAAAAGAATGACGAGCTGGGAAAAACTGCCCAGCTCGGCGAACAAGCGAACCAATCGTGCCCCCCGCTCAAGGTGTCGAGCGACATCGTCGCTAATGATCCGAGGATGGTGCCCGGTTATAGCAATCTTTGAGATTACCTGCCCGACGATGTACATTATGATTTCTTGGAGGTGGTGGAACACAGATACGAGTACGGCAAGCCTCTTGTCAAAGATGAAAGATCTCTAACAACAACGATGCGAAGATTCCATGATTGGTACATAAAAACCTGCAGAGAGTCTGGGGGGAGGAATATTTTGACGCTGAGAGTTAAAGAGGAGCATGACCTCGTTGGAATTGAACTGTTCAATGTTCCATTTGAGGAGTTCTTTCAGTTTTTCAATCAAAAGGCCCTCGATAAATCAACGCTCACTTGCTACTGTTTGTAAGTAGTACTACTTCTGCCATTAAGTTTCTCTATATAGGTCAGCACTTTCATTGCATGTATTTATAATTATCCTCACTATATTATGCAGATTAAAGATCGCCGAATTGAAGAAAGACAAATCAGTGATATTGCGTTCATTAACACAAATCTCATAGATGCAACTGAGGTTAAATATCATGCTGAAAATACCAAGGCCAACTTGCTAGGATTGTTGGTAATAAATGAAAACGAAGATATAATACTCTTTCTTTACAACTTCAAGTGAGTGTTACTGTCTTGTGCATATTCGGTTTCCCTTATTAGTCTAGGTTATAGTAATGTAATTGATGAGTTATGCATGCGTGCGTAGCTTCCACTATATTCTCCTAGAGGTTAAGCTTGAGCAGGGACTAGTAACCGTCTTAGACTCGAGACGAAAAGATCCCCAGGACTATGCAGACATGACTCAAATGCTCGAGAAGTAAGTTAAATCGAGCATTATCCACCATATCAGCAACTTTGTTCATTTCCTGAGATCAAGTAATTGTTTTCTTTGTCTGGTAGGGTTTGGAGAAAATTCACCAAAACAGCTCCGAGACTGCTGAAGAAGCTGCAATTTAGACACCCAAAAGTAAGTACTATAGTAGCATGTTCCGCGCATCTCCTAGTGATTCAAGTGCTAGTTTCATCAATACCATTTAGCATGCTTGCTTATCAGTTTGATTGACCTCTATTTCTTGTAAAGTGGTTGTGGCAGGAACAAGGGAATGATTTCTGTGGATACTACGTTTGCGAGTCCATCCGCCACACGACCACTAAGCGGGGCTACTCTGACGAACAATATGAAGTGCGTAAGCAATAATATTCACAATTTTATTTTATTACCATCCTTTTGTGTTGAGTTTCATTTATTCATATATATATGTATTGACCCCCTTTTTCAAATTAGATCTTTCGGATGCGGAATGAACTCCTACCACCAGATCGTATGCGAGCAATTCAAGAGGAATTGGCGGCATTCTTCCTTGACTATGTGATCGCTGAAGACGGAGAATACTATGTGGACCCTGTGTTCATATATAATTAGGAGATTATATTGTAAGAGATAATTATTGTATATAAGTAGCCAGTAGTGTCGGATAGATATACGAGAACTTGTTGTTTGACCAATCTCTCGGAGAAGGAGAGGTGGTCGATATCACTTCTCTCTATATGCATATGTTCATGATGATCTTCTGTTTCCTTCATTTGCTTACTAGCTAGCGTGTCTAGTCCTCTCTATACGTATATAGTACGTAGCGTCGACGACCAAGCATGGAGATAAGAGAAAGTACACTTCTCTCTATTAATTAGCTAGCTAACATAATATATTAAACACCTAAATTAACCCCTCCAAAAACTCCCAACACCCCCCCCCCCTTTGAAAAAAACAAAACCCCAGCCCCCGAAATGATGACGCGTGGATGCCTATGGGTCCCGGTTGGTGGCACCAACCGGACCAAAGGCCCTCCTGTCTGGGCTCGCCGCACCGGCCACGTGAGCCCATCTGTCCCGGTTCGTGTAAGAACCGGGACTAAAGGGCTAGGGCATTAGTAACGACCCTTTAGTCCCGGTTCAACAACCGGGACAAAAGGCCCTTACCAACCGGGACAGATGACCCTTTTTTACTAGTGCGTGGCGGCGACTTGCCGGACTGCAGGCGGGGGCGCGTACAAGGCGCTGATGGCGGCGCGAGGCGAACTTGTTGTGCGGCTGAGCAGGTGCAGTCAGGATGGACAGAAGAAGGGGAAGAACGAGAAGGTGGAGAATACAGGAGGTCGGCACAAGGGGTGCTCGCCGGCGGTAGGGTCGAGCGCATCAGCGAGATAGAGGAACCGGGACAGGTCGGGTCTCCCTTGCCACGTCAGCTTTGACTGGTCAAAACCGGCATAGCCAACACTAAAACCAGATCCGACGAAAGAAGGCACCAACTTTGCCTGGTTTCAATAGTTGACGGATCAAATTTAGACTTTGCTTAAAATTAAGGGACAAAAAATATACTTTTTTCTATTAATTACTTGGTTCACCCAACCGCATATTAAGCGCAAATACAAATCACAATACAAATAGTCTGCCGATAATTCAGAATGCACGGCACTCTTCTTTCCTGGTCCAACTTCTGATTCATGCCGCAGCATCGCTCTGCCTCCATTGCCTGATAGGGCCTGCACAGAAAAGGAAGTACATGAGAGCCAGCCATAATAGGTACATGTATCCATCAGCTTAGTCTCTTCCCCGGTATAGTTTTACCAAATCAGAATGGGAGTTAAATGATTTCCGCTCTCATTAATGAACCAATTAGTGCCATATCAAAGGACTGAATTAAGAAGAGCACCCGCGACTTGAGGGTCAAATAATAGCAGGGAGAAAACAATAGCGCCAAAAATTTCTGATTTAGTGGAGATGGCAGTTTGGTCTGATCTGCCTACCTAGATATCATGCACTTTCTCCTTTCCTCGAGATGCTGCCTTCCTTTGCTGTGCTTCTTCTTCCTTGTTTTTATCTTCTGCTCCTTGTTCCTCCTCTGCGGCAGGTAAAAGATGGAATCAATAAGGCGAAAAAAAGTACAATAAATTGACAAAGTCTTCGAACCAATACATATAAAGAGTTGTGCTCATTTACCTACAGACTTTATCAAGTGCTGGGATAGTGCACTCCTCGCCCTGACAGAATCCTCGTCTGCTACCTGCCGCAATTCCTCTTGACCCTCATCCTCATACTCACCTTCCTCCTGATCCTCGTCTTTCTCCTCCATGTCTATCACTATGTTATGCAACATGCAGCATACCCAGATTGTCCTTCTCAATATGTCATTATTATCTCGATGCCACCCTTCTCCCTGGAGGCACTTCCATGTGTCTTTTAACTTTGCTAGCGCCCTTAGTGCAAAAGCTGTCACTGCAGAATGTCTCCTGTTGAACTCAACTTTGGCGTCTGAGCGTGAGAGGCCATCCTCCAACAGGTAAGGTGTGAGGATCCAAGGACGAAGAGGGTATCTTGCATCACCAATTATGTAATCTCCGACTTCCGAGCCATCTGATAACTTCAGCTTACTGCCATTCAGTGAAGCACCCTCATCATAGTACTTCAAGAGATCAGAGTCCAACTCCAAGAGATCAGAGGCCAACCAAACCTGTGTGAACTTCATATCTGGATCAACGATGGCTCGCATTAGCACAGGCTCATTCTCCTCGCCGTCACGATATTGTGATCCAAACGTGATTTGGGCTGTATGTACAACACCACAGCAGTTTGGCAGGCCGTGTATCTTGTCAAACTTGCGCCTGATCTTCTCCATTTTAGCAGCGCCTGGCCATTTAAAGTGGTGCATTGATGGCTCATCCATGGCTTCAACAAACACCTTAGTTACCAGCAAGCAAGTTGACTCGCTCACACCAAGAGAGGATCCTACGGTAACCGGAGAGTCACCAGAGTTCAGCATTCTCAGAGCGACAGCTACTCCGTCTTGCAAAGAAAACAATCTCCCATCAACAAAGGTATGTTCCCTTGCCATCATATCTTCGAAAAATGGGATCCTCACCAAGCTGCAGACATAACTGAAGGTACTTCTTCTCATTTTGTACAGAGAGTCAAATCCTTGTGCATCCACCATACAAGATGATAAGGTTTCTGCATGGAAAGAAAAACACAAAACTGGTTACATGATACTCTATATATGCTAATCTCAAGAAAACGTAGAAGAACAAGTTAAGAAGACAAATACTTAGCAACATGCACTAGGAAGGTACAGAATATATCGGGTCATCATGCAGTGTATATGGACGAAAAGCAGAAGATAAAATCAAATAAACCTATAAACTGGCAGAAAGAGCGCTCAAACAAATTAAGACAAATCTTGTACGTATGTTTGATTTTTTGTACCTTCAAACACGGTAGAGCTGCTAATATTGGAATCCAACTTGCATTTGTCTCCTCTAGAGTACAAAACATACCATTTTCTTTGGTTGTATCCATCATGCGCATATGCCTTGACATGCTCCACTTGGCTGAACTTGTCCCACTCAGTGCCAGATTGTCCGGCGGCTACCGCAGAGAGCAACCATAGCCTACAGAATAACTGCAAATGCCTTAGCTTTATGTCTCGCATGCATTCTGGGAGTTCTTCCATGTTGTAATCCTCCAAGTAGAGCCTCTCGAGTGAAGCGATATGCTCCAGCACCTTCAACTTTGGGCAGTTCTCAATGGTAAGCTTCTGCAGATTGGGGAGATTGGTGATCCTCTCTAGGTCGGGGCATCCATTCACTGTAAGGTCAACAACAGAAGGAAAGTTCTCAATGTAGCTGAGGTGCTTGACATATAGTAGACATAATATTTTCAAAGAGCTTGCATTGGAGGCAAGGCCTCGAGGAACATGCCTCAGTCTGCAATTAATGAGCACAAGCTTCTCCAAACGATGCATGGCTTGTACTTGCTCCTCCCACTCCCACTCCTCCCATTCCACCATTCTGACCAAGGTCATTTCATTTAACCTTGGAAATGAAGCTGCTGCCGCCTTCACAAATGCAGTCCCAACTTGTTTGATGCATGGAGCTTGAGACACCTGTAGAAACTGCAGATTGGGGAGCTGGCACAACCCATTGGGAAGTTGTGTGCAACAAGCCAGTCAAAAAAGAATATAGTCTTCAAGTTGTTGAGGGGCACCATTGATGTAGACATCATCCAGCTCGGGCGTTGCCAGCCAAAATACCCCCTGATTTGAAGATATTCTATACTAGGTGGAGGGCATAGCTTATCAAAAACCTTTTCAATTCGTTGCTGCTTTTCATCAGAGACCAACCCATCATCTCCCAGTTTACTGGTGCAGCCCAATAATAGCTTGTTAAGATGCATCTTCTCGCCGAGCCTAGCATTAGCAGCAAACGAGGCAGCAGATACGTTCTCCAATTGAACTAATTCAAGAAACCTGAGTTGGGAAAGAGGCCCTAACTCGTCCAAACTGCACCAATCACCATCCATGTGGGCTCGAAACATTCTTAGTCTCCTCATATTTGTCAGACCACTAAACCCTCTAGGTACCATACTTGCTTCAGGAAGTGAAAGTAACCTCAGCTGGCCAAGCTTCACAATGCTATCAGGAAGATTCACCAATTTTCTACATTGACAAAGGTCAAGGAATTGCAACAGTTTCATCTTGCCAATGTTCTCTGGAAGTACATATATATTAGCATTTACTAGTGTTAGATACCTCAGGTGCTTTAGTTGATGCAATGATTCAACGAATACAGCCAAATCTATAGATTCTATATACAGAGTCCGCAAACTAGAAAAAGTAACCAATGAATCACCAGGCTTCATGTTAATCTGGACAGTTGAGATCAATGTTCTCACTAATTGCTGCGACCGCAGAGATTCCCAATCAAGTTCACCTGATTGTGATTGGTTAGTTTGTATGGACAACCGAAGAAACTTTTGTGAACCAAGTTTAGCAAGAATATCATCATCTCCGTCTTGAGCTACGAGTGCTTCATCTTTAGTCATATACTGAGCAAATGAGCGAATAACATCATGCATGCTGCAAACCGATATACCAATGCACCATTTAACTGGCTCTATAAGGTTCCTAGATACTAACTCCTGGTAGTAATTTCTTCCCAATTCTTCTAAATCACAAGAGTTTCCATGAATAAATCCTTCGCTTATCCACATTGCCACAACTTCAGCCATAGTGAACTTTCTACTTTTAGGAAGAAGAGAGTAGTACAGAAAGCACTGCTTCAGGTAAGAAGGCATATATTCATAGCTTAAGTACACTATGTGGTTGAGATCATCGGGCATTTTAGTTGTTGACCATTTAGAATCATCCAAAACCTGCTGCCAGTCATGACGTATTCCCCCCTTTTCACGCAAGATTCCTCCCATCACTTTAACAGCAACTGGTAAACAACCACATATCTGTGTAATTTTCAGTCCAATATCCTTTAGCATATTGATGTGGTCTTCATCTATCTCACTTGAGCATACCTGCGAACATACAGTACAAGGAACCGATACAGTAAATTAACTTTGTGTAACATACATACTTTATGCCAAGAAAACAAATTGCAAGAAGAATATACTGTATAGAAAGTAACTCCAAATTTAATAGAAATCGTATATTGTTTTATTCGCTTTCATATTTAAGATAACATGAAATTATCTAATCTTTCAAACGTCTATAATGCATAATACTATGCCAAATATTAAGTACTAAATTTGTGTGCAAATTCTCTAGCAAAATTACTGCCAACTTCTAGTCTATTTATTTTCGTATTATATTTGTTTTTTGTATTAGCAGGGGTTGACCGAAATTGTTATTTTTCTGTCTTAAAATATATTTTAATTTATGTTATGTTCTATGACACTGTTGAGTAGCTGAGCAATTAGATCTTCATCTCATATGTTGGAAAACGACACTGTATATTCCCAAAAGGTTACACTACACGAATATACGACCGATGTCTCTTCACTGGTAGAGATGATACATATATAATTATCCAAATTTCTAATTATCTTTCAAACTTGATTAAACAAAATTTAGGTGTCCTTGAATGTGCCTGAATTAGTGTTGTTGTATATTTCCTTGTTTAGCACCATGCTTTGTTGGCACTTGCAATGTAATCTTAGCCTTACAAAATGTACATAGAAGTCACTAAATTACGTGTAATAGTGGCTCATTAATTTGGGAGCATCCTAACAATTCTCTTAATTAGTATTTGATTAAGTACATACATGCTTCACTGAAAAATTAGTATTTAATTAAGTACATACCTGCTTCTTGAGCAATGACCAAGCATCTTCAGGCGCTAATGTGTTGACATGGTGGTACGGCCAGATAGCTTTCACCCCTCTGGCAACGCCTTCATCTCTGGTAGTGATGAGGACTCGGCTGCCCGAAGCAGCAGCATTGTCTAAGGGTATTTTCAACACGTCATCCCATGCTCTATGCTTCCACACATCATCCATTACCAGAAAGGTCTTGTGGTCAATCAATGTGTTCTTGAGGGTTTCGTGAAGGGTGGTCTTTGAACTTTCAGGTGGTTGAGCACCTCCTCCGGCTTTGATGATGACCTTTCTCAGCAGATCAACGTCACTGAAGTTTTGGTTGACGCTCAACCATATCGTTTTGCTGAATTCACCTTGGATTGCCTTGTCATTGGAGACCTTCTGGGCGAGGGTGGTCTTGCCGATCCCACCAACACCTACGATAGCAACCACCTTGATGCCAGTGTTGATATCCTTTCCCGTCTGCATAATCTGGGCCACCAGTGCCCTTGTGTCTTCTTCAATCTTGTCTCCAACAATAGCCGACCGGTCAAAGTCCCCTACCGTCTCCCGGCTTGGATTACCATGGTGAGAGGCATGGGTGTTGCTGCGATGATCCTCATAGGAGCCAAGATTGATAAAGTTGAAAGCAGTGCTCCGTTCCTTGATGTCGTCAAGCCTCTGATTGAGCACCTTGATGCGGGTGCCAATCTCACGGGCATGAAAGGGGTTCCTCATGCAGAAGAGCAAAGGATTGAAACACCCTGCATTCACCGAGGATGTTCCACGCTGCATGGCCTTGAGCTGGCAGAGGTCAAGGATGTCAGTAGTTTCGTACATGGCACGCTTGAGCTGCCCCACCCACTCTCGAACAGTCTCGTCGGTGATGTTCCTCCTATCGGCATCGGCCAGGAAGTTCTTGAGGTCCCGAAGCTTGTCCCCCATCTTGTCGATCTCGCCGGAGACACCCAACATCGTCTTCACCTCATCTGTTGCTACCTGAGTGAGCATGTCCACCAGGTAGGACGCAAATGCATCCAGCACCATCGCCATTGTTGCTGGTTAATTTTTCTGCAATAACATGGTAATGTCAAATTCAAGCAGGAAGCTTAGCTAGCTAGGTGTAAAGAGATGCAAATCACACTTGAACTGCCTAGTCAACCTGTGAGATGGATGGACAACGCAGACGGCGGAGAAGGCGTGGGGGTCAGCGTGACAGCAGCGCCGGAGATGTGTCTCCTGCAGCAGGGGAAGCTCAGATCCTCCTCCGGCGCGTTGCCTCCTTGAGCAGCAGTTCAGCTCCTCCACTGGTGCGTCGAGTCGATGAAGCAGCAGCTACACTAGCGGTCAGGCGCAGAATAGTTGGGTGTAGCAGCAGGCCACGGCACAGCTGGGTGGAAGTGGCGGCAGGCATGTGCTCTCCGGAGGTGTGAGTGAGACTGTGAGAGCCATTCAACGGAGTAATAACAGTGGCAGACAGCTGCATTTGACGGAGGTAATTAACAATTTACATAACGTGGGCTGCTGTCAGTTTTCCTCCAAAAAAGAACTCCCCTTAATCTACTCTCAACTTTTTTTTGTTTGTGTATCTCTTAATCTACACGTAATGGAGTAATTAGCTATCGTGGGCTACTGTCAGATTACTGATCCATCTAGTTTGATCTGTTTGGCCATTGGTTGAACTTTGCATCCACATCGCTAATTGATCCATCCACATCCACGTGCCCACCACATGCAGCTTGCAAACAAAAGGAGAGCTAGCACAGTGGAGGGTGGAGTGCTTTATTTATGGATTATATAACTGAACGCGCAAACGGACTGAACTGAAACTTTGAGCACAAACTTTATATCCATGAGAAGCAAAATTGACATAAACAATAGTTCAAAATCCATGAGAAGCAAAATTGACATAAACAATAGTTCAAAATCAACAACTAACATTAGAAATTCATGAGGCATCAAATGCATGAGCATAAGAGACAGAGTTCGAAGTCAAAAAATTGGATGTCAAACTTGGGCACAAAAAGAAAAGGCGCATAAGAGAACATCCTCCTCTAACCCAGCTACATATCTACATGATAAAGTACACTTACGGTGTAAAGAGCATGTAAAGCGCAGAACAGAGCTTTTCTTTTCATTTGCACAAAGGTGTGTGTTTCTCGCCAGAGCAAATTTGAAGAGAGACCAGCCTTTCCTTTCTTCCCTTCATAGAGAGAAATATTCCGTAGATAACTAAATATTTCAATTTGTGAACAGTAATATGCATCTTAAAAGTGCAGTTTGTGGTTCTTCATTGGCATTTGGACAATAATCTCTCCACAATAATTTCTCTTTAATAATTTGGTTCACGCTCCAGGCATACAACAGGGCAAGCTCAAAGCAAAAGCATGTAATAGTAGTTCAGGGCGTTCTTGGTGGATGTTTTTTCCTTTTTGGTTGCTTATTATCTTGTCATACATCTCGTCATACATAATCTAGTAAACTCGAACGTTAGCAGACAGCAACGTTGGACGGAGCTAATTAACTAGAGTAAATAACGTGGGCTGTCAGGTTGGATTATTTAGCTTAGCTTGTGTGCACATCGGTAGCTGCTCCATCCACATGCGATTTTGACCAAACGACGCCCGGGAGGTAAATATATGCACTTGTCAGAAACAAGGCATAGTAACGTGCGCTGCCAGTGAGCTGGATCTGGATCTGGCTGTACAAATCAAAGAA